TATATATATATATACACTGTTCTTCCAACAAAAGAGACTTTTGAAGATTTTAACTACCTTTTGAAATCGACCGTGTTTGCGAGGTTTTCTGTTCTCTGGGTTCACTTTCAAGACGCAAAAAAAAGTTTGGTCAAAATTGTAACTTGCCTCCATTGAAATTGGTAAATAATTTTCTACAGAGCCATATGTTTGAAGAAACTGTCTGTGAATAGTTTCAGCGATTTCTCCCAGATGTTCTTGAAGATGTGTAGTATTGTCGGCACTCTTTTTTATGTCTGCCGACAATAAATGAGACAGACGTTCTCTGACAGGAAATACATTTGGCGTCGCCGCCTTTGTTTTACGATTCTTTGAATACTGTTGAAATCTCATAAGTAAGACAGACACGAGTGATTTAGCTACAGTATATATGTATGATCAGATGATTCATCCGTAGTTAARTCACCAGATAAGGCCTGAATGTCTGCATTTGAATCATCTAAAAATGGATTGTATGGTTTCGCATGAGATTTTTCTGTTTTACATCAAACTCATCTGTGGAATCCTTATCAGATGGTTAAAACCCCTATCTGCCGCTGTCACAGAAGCTTCGTTGATAAAACCCCTGCCTTTTTCTTTCTTTTCAGCTTTTACAGTCTGCTTCCCGTTATCTATGACCTGATCAGGCAAAGCAAACTGAATTTCTGCATCTGAATCGTCTGAGAACGTATAATATAGCTTCATGCAAGATTTTGTTCTCTGTTTCACATCCAACTCATCTGCTGAGGCCTGAATTTTTACGTCTGGGCAGTTTCCAAATTGGTCAGAAGCTGTCATGGGAAATACTTCTATTTTTTCAACATGTAATTTATCAGTTAGAGATGGAACTTTGCGTTAGTTGGTTCTGGATCTGAACATAAAAACGTTGTCAGTGCCTCTTCTGTTGTGTTGTACATTTGTTCTTGAAGGAATTGTTTCACGGTCGGTTTAATTTTCTCTTGTAAGGCAGAATCTGAAAAATTTAGCTTGTTCGGAGGTTGGGGTGTAATCCTTACCAGAAGATGGTTAGCTGTTTTTATATTTAGAGCTATTTTTGCAGCTGATTTTAGTGGTTGTTGTGAGGTACATTACCCTGGCTCATGTGGAGTGTTTTTTAATGAATAAATCTTATATTATTGCTTGTTATCACTGAATGTTAACTTTTTTTTTTCAAAAACTGCATTAATCATAAGGGTTGTGTTGATCATCACACTGGAAAAAAGGACCAATAAACAAGGGCATAGCAACAATATTCATTATGCTACTTTTATGTATTATGAAGTACACAAATGATTAACTAAGGCAAAAAAATGTTTGTCATTTTTCAAATGTTTTTTAAATGTTTAATTAAATTTGAAACCGAAACAACTTTGGAAACCACTGTGTTATACAGTAAGTTTGAATTAAACAACCACAGTCAAGGCTTGTCATTGCCTGCTACTGAAAGCCAAAGATGGCCAGTAATGTTTTATATGTGTCTATGTGAACCACTGGACAAATTTGATAAAAAATCTGCAAATGTCCTGATGCATCTCAGTAATCCAGGTAAAAAATCAAAAAGAAAAAAAAATTGTATAGGTCTTCTGGACGGGTTCTTCTCTAATGAAACGTTTCGTCTCTCCTCCAAGAGACTGTTCAAAAGAA